TACGCACAATAACATAAACAAGAAATTAAGGGACTGACTTGATTAAATTCAAAAAAAACATAAAAGACTGATTTGAACAGATTTGAAACCTAGGACTAAACTGCTTAATCGCAAAACCCTTGGGTGAGATTGAAGTGAAGAAAGATAATTTTTTACTTTTTGACCAAGATTAGAGGAAATTAATTAATTAAATGATTAATTTAACACTAATTAAAATTAATTAAAATCAATTAATCATATTTATCAACTTTTAATTAAGATCATTAAATCATTAAATGTATCTAATAATCTCAAATCAAAGTTAATAAACATAATTAATTTATTCTAATTAAAGTTAATTAATCATAAATTAAATTAATTAACCTAATTACTTAGTTATATATATTTTTATTTTTTTTTATCTCCTTTTTGTTTCTTTTTATTAGATTGGGTCGGGTTGACCCAATCCAAAAACACAAACCCACTAACCCAAATGGGTAAAAACAGATCAAACGCAAAACAAAACGACTTACAATTCAGATTCATGATTGTTCTGAAAAATGAACACATTTCGCAGAACAGAGAAAAAAATATATATTTTCATTAAACAGCAAAAAAAACCTAAGAAAGATTTTCATTCATTCTCCAGCAAGCACATGCAGCTAAAAAATTGCAGAAAAAAACATCAACCAAAAGATAAAAACAAAACACCCACGGCAAAATTCTCATTCTTTGATTTTTCGTTCATGTCCAGTAAACATACACAAATCTAGCATTAAACTCAAGAAATAGACTTCAACAACAAATCACAAAGAAATAAAATGGGAGGTTCTTAAAGGGATTATTTTTTTTTACCTAGGACAGGAAGAAGATAGACCCGAGAATGCACAATCTCCTTCGATGAGCTCTGGAATTTCGAGATCCTCTTCTCCTTTGTGCCAGCTCCGGCTACCCAGATTCAGACCAAAAAAACAGAATCCCCTCTATTCCAAATCTAAGACCTCTATTTATACACACACAAGCCAAAGCCATAAAAAAAAGAAAAAGAAACCCTCTGCCTAGCCTTTCGATCTGTCCTATTTCTTCCTACTGTGGACCGAATGGGGCCAAATTTGACCTCGCAGAACACCATCATTTTGCAGGCCCCACGCTCTGTTGACTGTGGCGTGTTGGATTGGAGGCGGGGTGCGGTGTGCAGGGGGGGGATTGCCAGCATTGGGTGCAGGGGAGGGAGGGTGTAGGCTCGGTGCAGAGAGAGGTATGATTGCCGGTGATGGGGAGGGGCTCATTTGGTGCAGAAGGCATGGGATTTGGGCGCAGAAGCAGGGGAGGTGCAGAAGCATGATGGCCGGCAATGAGGGGGTGATGATGGCTAGCTCGGTGTAGGGCAGAGCAAAGGGGATCTGGGATGCAGAGAGAAGAGGAGGCTGATTCGGTGCAGAGGGAGGCGTAGGTTGATTCGGTGCAGAGGGAGGCAGAGGTTGATTCGGTGCAGAGGGAGGCAGAGGTTGGTTCGTGCAAAGGGGGGTTAGGGGCACAGGCTCGGTGAGAAGGGGGGGTTAGGGCATGGTGATGGCTGGGCATGTGGTTGCCGACTGGTTTGGGGGAGAGAAGGAAAGGAGAAAACCGGGGGCGGGGGAGGAGGAAGAAGGCTCCAGAAATATATATATTTTTTATTTCCCTTTTTTTTTTCTTTGTTTTTTGTTAAATGGGTTTTGGGTTTGGGTTTTGTTTTGGTAGGTTTTGGGTTTGGGTTTTGTTTTGGTGGGTTGTGGATTTGGGTAATTGGGTTGGTTTTTTTTTTAGGCTTTAATGGGCAAGATTTATAGCTTCAAGGGTTTCACCCCCAAACTTTTGATCTCTTCAATTGAGTCCCTTGTTTTAATTTCTTTCACCACCTTCTTCCAATCCTCTTCGCAAAATTTCCTTTTTGCCCCCCCCCTTTTTTTTTTGAACCTAACAAGTAAAACAAAGACAAAACACATTAGTTAAAATAAAAATAAAATAAAAAATAAAATAAAATTCTACTAAATTTTGAGTTATGACAATTAACATGACACCTCACATGATTTTTAATGGAAAAACCAAGTTGGGGTAAAATTGGTGAACAGTAAAAATCAAGTCAAGGAATTTTTCAATTCAAGGATTAAATTGAGGGTTTATACAATAGTTGAGGGAATAAAAAAGGGATTTAACCTAATAATAATAATGCAAAAAAATAGTGTGAAAAGGGTTCTTCGAATGAGTTCCGATCTAGTTCCAATGGGGTTAGGGTTTTAGAGAACAAAGATATATAGTATATTAATGTGAATAGTTACGAAGACATAACCTAAACATAAAAGAGGTTTTTTTAGTTTTACTTTAATATATCTTTAGATTGCATCTATATTTTGTTTTATAAGGATTGTTTACGAAGTATGAAACAGAAAGAGGCAGTAAGGCATCTTTGGCAAAAAGAGCACGACCCTTTGACCCAACTCTGCTTCACTAGAAAGGTGCACTGTGATCCAAAAAGAGTAAAACCCCTCCGCACGGCAGCTATTGCCCAAGCAAAGATCACAACTTCTCATCCAAGTTCCAGATGAATTAAATAAAATCTCAATCATTACTCTTAATTGAAAGGTAGACACAGATTGACATCTTTGAAAACAGAATTGAGATTTCGAGAGTTCGTAGTTCTGATATGGCAAATGAATCATCCTATGATGTCCTCCATGGTGTCAGGAACGAACATGACATCTTACAGCTATCAGATACAGCTTATGCTGAAGAATTGCAGTTCCAGGAGCCCCTCCAAATGTCTACGATCCCTTCTCAGATGAAAATAGATGATCGCTTGTTCCCGTCGTCATTAGTCACTCCTGCAGCCGTGGTCAAAGTAGTTGGTAAATGGAAAGGTTTAAAAGAGGAAGAGGATGATCACCAAATAGTTTGGCCTCCGATGGTTGTCATTAGAAACACAAGCATTCCTACTGATGATAAGGTAAGACAATCATATTTTCTTTTTAAAAATGAAATGTTGATGATATGGAATTTTTCATGAACTACTCCACCTGAAAACTTAAACTGTCATGTCACTGTTCAAGAATTGGTTTTATTCGTTGATAGAATCTACATGTGTTTTTTGTTTTAATTTGAATTGGATTTAGTGGAAAGGCATGAGAAGCTTAGAGCTCCGTCAGCAGTTCAGCTCATATGATGCCATTAAGGTTCGTCACTGCTATGGTCCCCAAGGTCACCTTGGTATAAGCCTCTTGATCTTTGAGAAGTCAGCAGCAGGTTATACAGAGGCAGAGCGTCTGCATAAGAGCTTTTCCATGCAAGGAATAGGAAG